AAGTGTTTTAAAATTTGTTATTCATGCTTCATTCATGCAGCTTGAGGACACTGCCCAACTGCCCATGGTGATAAAATAAAAAAGCATCCTATACTTAAGTAGTCGAATAGTCACAACTTAATAAGTGACTGACATGCTTACTTTTGAAAAATATACTTAAGTACCTGATAAATACTCAATGGCCCTGTAGACCGCGTGTATGAACGATTTGGCGAATCTTTTTACCCTACTGCCTCAGAAGGAGGGTTAAGTTTTCCCTCGTTTCTTGCTTGATCTTCGTCGTACTTTACTGCGGCGAAAGGCGTAAAATTAACCAAATACCGATCGGCAACTTTGCTGCAAACTTTGCCGGTCGCTCAGACTTTTCCGAAAGATTTTCTTGCGGCTTTGTGACAGTGTTGCCAGAACCATTGTACGTATCTGCATGCGATAAAATCAGTAGAACAAAAAACTAAATGCCTCAGACGTAAAAAGAGATTGAGGCGTCATGTTAGCAAATTTAATTTTTTTACACTTTGTCTTTAAAAACTTATATTGCTTTTTATTAATTCTGTCTATAATATACAATTTTATAGTTATAATTTCAGGCAAAATCAGCTTAGAAACTCACCCATGCGGCCCATATTCGAGTCCAATCGATGCACGACATTTTTACAATTTATATTTTCATTGATGAGACTAATATAGTAGAGTAATAGAGGTAGTTCAGAAACGTGCGCGAAAAGTTGAAATCGATTACATTTCTAAAGCTTTACCTTTACAGCCACAATAGTCCACTGCTGGACATGGGCCTCCCCCGTATTGGGGGGTATTGCCATACTCACCACGCTCGGCAGGCGGATTGGCAAGCGCAGTGCAAGATGTTTAAATTCACAGGGAACGCTGCTGCCCATTCCCTAGACAATTATCCCTTAGTGACTAAACGATTTGATGTTATTCAATATTTAAAATTTTATTCGGTGGCCTTTTTTTCGTCATTAGTAATGAAGATATATTTCAAATATAAATTTATATTACAAGAAATAAAGCGTCATCGTAACGCAGCACAAGGATCTACTTATTTCGGATGAGTTTCTCCTTGAACGGTGTTTTAGCCTCTAAACGCGATACTTACAAAACCCCGAAAGTTTTGTGTTTCAGTGAATTAAGTTTGGCTAACTTAAAAATAATTGTGATATTATTGAAAGAAACGTAGACGCTACGAAGTGCGCTATCAACTATAGCTCTGGCAACACTTTCTCTCAATAACTTCCGCGATGTGGCGGCAGGGGGGTCGGGGAAGAGGGGGGAGGGGTTTTAATTTGCTCTTATCACCCGCTTTTTAATAGCCATCCATCGGTTATTTTTTGCCGGCACCGGTTCCAACGGGATTGAAAGATGCTGATGGCTGATTAAAGTATTCATAACGAGTTTATTAAATCTACCACCGAATTCGCGGTTTCGAATAGAAAACAGAGAGATTTATCGATTTTACTTGCTGGGATCATTACATTCGAAGAACAAAGCTACGAGTAGAGCTACGAGCTTTAATCTGTCGCTACGCGCTACGAAAATTGTTCCGCCTCGTGATAAAAATAGTTACTAACATGGGGCTAGCCTTGCGTCTTGCTAATTATTATGATGACGTGTTGTAGCTTGCAATCCTTCGAAAATATACCCAAATTCTGGAATTCCTTGTGGAAAGTTGTATTTGGTATGGGGGAAGATCGATATTACAAGAACTCAATTTGCAAATAAGTACTTCACTGACATCCACCGCAAGCTTTTACTACAACAACAGGTATAAAGCAGGTAGCTATAATAAAAAAAAACGGACTTGTCCTCTAATTTGCTCTATAGATAGATATCCTTACTTTACAAGCTACAGAATAACAGGCCAATAAAAGCAGGGCTGCCACCAGCAGTGTCAACACCAACTAACTACCGCTATCGATTGCAATCCTCGCCCTAATTCTCGCGCGTAGTTAATCCCTCATAAAGATGTTCATAAACCCGAGGGATTTTTGCCCAGGGCGCCCCGACCACCACAGTAGAAAATAAAAACTAAGATGACTTGGTGGCCCTACCACAAATCAGGGGGACAGCGCGCTGGGCGCCTTTACAGATGGCTCACTCAGTACGGTAATAGCGACGATTTTGACGCTTACTGACTATGAAATGAACTGGAATCTCAGGGGAACTCAAGGTAACTCAGAAGGTGTTTGCCACGAACGTCATATTTCTTGAATTAAATAAAGCTCAAAATCAAATTACGCTCTTTTATCAGATTAAGCTTTATTTCATTTCCATATTGAAGCTAGCCATAAGTATTACGTTTTTGTATTAAATTGAAGTCATTTATTACAACTTTAAAAGTTGAATAACTCGGAAAATACTAAAAACTAGTGATTCGGATAACTCTTAGTATAAGGGACTTCTCGTGTACATGGTACCTACACAATTTTTAGAAAACTTGCAAAGACAGATGCCAAAGGTCGCAGGTTCAAATCGTGCCTGCGGTGAAAATTTTTGCATGTTATCCAAAGAGATTCATATTTTCTCTTTGGACGCCATTAACTAAGCCACCCTGTATGTAGTCATCGTACTGCCTTTAACTGTACTGTGTCCCGGAGTTAGGAAGGGGGAGAGTAAATTAAAGTTATGGCAAATCGATGATCTGATCAGTTATCTTGTTAGAAGCTGGAGATTGAGGAAGACCGAAAGGAACCAAATCATTGTGATGGATGTTTTTTATTAAAAATTACAACTTATCTATATAGTCTTGTACTTATATTTTTTTCGCGGTTGTGCCTCGATTATTTAACTACTTGCAGTCTTCTTCACGCATGACACCGTGGGCGTATTTGATTTGTCGACCACTGTGAACAAGACTGCCGTAAGAAAACTTGCCAAAAAATTTACAAGAGTAAGTTGTAATCTTTATTTAAAGTCCATGAGTGTGTCTTGTTCGTTTAGTGATGATTTTTGTGAAAGCGCTGGATTCAGTTTAAGACTTTGTTTGATCGTTTGATCTGCGAAAACCATAGAGTACTTTATGCTAAGACTTAATGTGATATATTCTTTTTTCTTGCATATTTTTATATTCAAGATAAAGCGGCAGAGCGTATATTATTATATCCCTTGCGGGTAAGCAGACTGTTAATCGCTGTAAAAATGACCATTTACATCACGTCTTACAAAAGTTTGAGAGTCATTCAAATTTGAGATGAATTCTTGATAGAAACGTTAAGTTTGGTTTTCTGCTGCAATTCAATTGCACACCAAATTATTTTCAATTGTACGCTTGTTTTAATGGTGCGCACACTAAAAGACTGACTTAGTATGACTGCCTGCCATGCAGAAGGTTCCGGGTTCAATCCTTGGTGGGGTCACTCACAAAGTTGATATTTATCACTTTGTGAGTTGGTTCCCAGTCTGGTTATAGGACATTGCAGGCTGAACCACCTGATTTTCCGAAAAGTAAGATGGTTCCGTGATTCGGATGGGCACGTTAAGCCGTCGGTCCCGGTTGCTGTCTATGATGGCGGTTGTTACACAACCACGTCAGAGGCCTGCTGTTTGCAGTAGGCGGTTGAAAAACTCTGACACCAGGGTTCATCGGGTCGTTGAACGACTCGGTGTTCCAAACGAAGAGAGAGAGAGAGAGAGACTAAAAAATTCACTTATTTTTTATAGTTTTACGCCTTATCTGCGCTGTCTCTATCCACCCAGCTTAAACTTAGCTAAAGTGAGCGAAGAAGGTAATTTGTCAAACGAACGTTTCATCCAACGACTACACAGCCAGCTAGACGCATAGACGCAAATTCCCCAAGAAAGATAAATGGGGAGGTAATCTCACAACTATGACTAAACTATAGCCGGCGGTGGAAATTTTTGCAAGTTTTCCAAAAATTACGCCTTACACGGGAAGTGTTTTAAAATTTAGTTTTTAAACTACATGTTTTGAATTGAGTTACATTGATACTCAACTCACATGTCCATGGACAAGTAGATGTGTTAAAAGACAAAAAACCCGACTGCGGTTATTTTGCTGTAAAAATCTGCCATATTGAATCTATATTTTTTTTATTTACTTACGACACATCATAATGTCAAAATCCAACTATCCGTTTGGGCTGTAGCCCGTGATAAGAATTTTCTTGTCCACATACATACATACTTACAGACATACATACATACTCTCGAAAAACATAACCCTCCTTCTGAGGCAGTCGGATAAAAAAAAATATTCGCTAAAGCTCAGCGTCATTTACGTACAATTGGGAAGAAAAATGCCACTAGTGTGATTTTACGTCACATACCCATATAGCACTAACATCACTAAATAGAGAGTTTACAGAATCACTCGACCCCAGGATTTATGTATGAGTTTCACGATTGTCACTTGTTACATAGCCATGATTGCTACTGTCAAGAAACTCAAGGTATAAGAATATCAAAACAGCAAAATCTGATATAAGAAGTTAATTTTAATCCAAGCAATATTATTTTAGTTACCTTGAGTTCCTCTGAGATTCCAGTTTACGTCAGTAAGCGTCAAAATCATCGCTAGTACTGAGTAAGCCATCTAGGCGCCTAATTTCTAGTTAACATCTTGTTAACTTAATATTCCGTCTAGCAGCTACGTGGTCGTTGGTTTCACCCGACGCAAATAAAGAGGTTCAACGACATAAAAGTCAAAAGTACAAGCTTCTTCTGAAAGTCACACAGATTTAACTCCGAGCACTTAAATTAGACAAACACATTTAATGTACATTTAATCCGAAGTTATCGTGATTTATTGCATTTAAAACGATATATAACTGCGACTAAGTTATACGGGTTACCAAGTGTTTGTGTGTCGTGGTGTCGCCCCATATTTTTCACGTGGGTGTCGTAAGAAGTGACTGGATTTGAGAGTTTTAAGAGTAGTAAGTTCTAAATACTTTCTACAGATGTCGCTGGATCGTCGCTTGGAGACGAGCATCAAGAGATTTAAAATTTGGCATTCATCAACCGGTGCCTCGATAGCTCAGTGGCAGAGCGGTGGGGCGTTTACCCATGCGGCCCGGGTTCGATTCCCGGTCGATGTATGACATTTTTCTATTATAGCACTGTGAGTGCATTAAAATCCCAATAGATGTATTTGAGAGTTTATGTGTAGGCTGACAACCTGTCTCAATGGTGATACAGTCTTATGAATGACTCCTAAACTTTTCTCAGACGGACGTGGTGTGAATGGCCGTTTTTCACTACCATTTACGCTCTGCCTACCCGCAAGGATATACGCGTGATAACTGCGTTGTTGCTATGACTACCCTACACGAGACAAAACCGTGATTTTATAACAGTATCTGTATCTACAGGATGTAAAAAAATCAACTGCAAATATTTTAAGGGGTGAATCAGCCCATGAAACTGAACAACTTTCCCCAAAGAACATAGGTCGAAATATGAAAAAAATTTTGCGCCTCCCATACAAATTGACTCGGCCGGCTGGTACATTTTGTATGGGAGGTCCAAATTTTTTTTTTCATATTTCGACCTATGTTCCTTGGGGAAAGTTGTTCAGTTTCACGGGCTGATTCACCCCTTAAAATATTTGCAGTTGATTTTTTTACTCCTTATATGTTATGCACATTTGTTGACTTCGTATATTACTATTCACGTCGTTGCTACGCCGACAGCATTGTGCTACGAAATAGCTACGAGCTGCTACGAGAAACTACGTACATATATCCGACATATATACGGTTACATTTAATTAAGTACAAATCTCTTGAGGGTGTAATCTACTCGCAAAACTGGACAACTTTTTATGGAAACTTTTCTTCGAAATATGAAAAAAAAATTGGACCTTTGTGTCACTTAGTATGGGATACTAAGTGACACACTTTTTCAGCATTTTTGTATGGGGGGCCCAAATTTTTTTTTTATATTTCGAAGAAAAGTTTCAAACAAATGTTGTTCAGTTTTGTGAGTAGATCACACCCTCAAGAGATTTGTACTGAATTAAATGTAACCCTATATATATAAGTAATCTGTGCACATTATATCAACCCTATATTTCTTGCGCGGTAGGCAGAACGTAAACGGTCACTTAAACCACGTCTGACAAAAGTTTGAGAGTCATTCGAAAGATCGTGTATCATCAAAGCGACAGATTGTCAGCCTGTCGCCTAAAATTGCAATACATGCTATTCTAAGCTACACGAGCTACCAATAGAGACGGCGGCTAATATTATAGGCGTATAGCCTTCTTTGGTACTAGATCTACAAAAAAATACGCATAGTTTCTAGTCAAAGAACAAGAGTAAATTTTTTTATTATATTTTATTGGAATTTACTGCCTAATTATAATCTTATTTATTTTTCTATTTATACCGATAACGAGTACAGTAAAATTACAAAACGTCAAAATTTCGAATAAAATTTTATTTAAACTACAAAAAAGTCTTAGCAGAGTTAGGGGCAAGCTCCAGCGATGCGCAGCATGACATCTGTCAGACAAGTGATTTTCAGCCGTTATTGATGCGACGCGCGTCTCAGGTGTGTAGCTGTGTCACTTCTTTTTCATACATTTTATTTGGCAACAGTTACAAGCGTCGCGCGTTGTGATTTCGCATGTCTCATGTCTCACGTCTTATGTGTGGAGCTTGCACCATAAGTCAGCTGCTTGCTACGTGGCGAGTGCGCGACGATCATAAATAACACTTGTCCGGTAGCGTAGCTCAGCTCGTAGCAAGTCGTAACCGCTTGCTACGAGTGCTACGGGCTACGGAATTATGTAACAGTAATGATTTGTTTTACTGCTTGTTGTACTTAATTCAATTTTTAGTTTCCATACATACATACCTATCCATACATATATCACGCCTATATCCTTTGCGGGGTGGACAGAGCGCAAATGACTATAAAAAACGGCCATTCACACCACGTCTGACAAAAGTTTGAGAGCCATTCAGAAGACTGTGTATCACCATAGTGACAGGTTGTCAGAATGTCGTCTAAAATTGCAATACACTCTTAAATCCTTTAATGGTTTCTTACGAAACCCACGCGAAAGATACGGAGTGATGTTATTTTAAAGGTACCGGTTAATGTTTCAAAAGTGGTTAAAAATTTGTGTTGTAATTAGCCAGTTTAGTTAGTTGTAAAAGTGCATCTGTGTTGGTGGTAATTTGAACATCTTACGGCTGGAGATTACGGTCTCGCTGCAGTGCGGGGGGAGGGCCGCGGGGAGCGGGGGAGGGCGCTGCGGGGGAGGGGGGGTGATGTGATAAGTTGGACGGAGTTTAGTGTTCATTGCGCGCTGTTTTTTAGAAAACGTTTCGGTTTCTTTAGAACGTTGCTTTGGTAATATTTTAGAAAAAGCTAGTAAATGGAATTCATAGGTATACGGGGTGTAAGGGACAGCTCTCCGAATACTGATAGGGTGCATTCAGACAGACCAACAAACTGAACAACTCGTCAGTGATCCCATAAGATTTTTTTTACTTCTTGTAAATGCAGTCAGCAGATCGTAATTTTGTATGAAAGGCCATTTTGTCACTTGAAGTATTTTCTTAAGAAAAGTTATTAAGTTTCATGGTTTAAAATATCATTATTTGGAAAGATGTTCCTTACACCCCGTTTAACAAATTATTCTCATTTTTTTGGAAAGCTTGCTAAACACACACATACAGGACCCGACTGAATATTTAGTAGAGTCGTTGGTATCTGTTAAACTTTATTACTTACTGCAAATTTATCTGATGTAATATATTTCATTTTTTAAATAACTGTTTATAATTTATTTAAAGTGGGAGAGCCGGCTGCAGAAATACCTATCTCATCAGGTACCACAATAGGCTAACTTGAGAACGTTAACTGACACGTAAACAAGTCGAAAGACGTAGGTCTGCCAGAGCCAATCCTACCGAGAGATGAAAATAAACGACGTTTTGTTAAAAAAAATCATCGGTAAGATTTACCTATGTCTAAAAGTACCCAAATCAAAGTGCTGGCATCAATTTATCATTGATAAATTATGTATACGTGTATAACTCCTACTTACGCATAGCTTTTTTATGCGCGTAGGTATAACGTATTCTGTGGTATAACGTTATTTTTAAGTATAACTTATTGATAAACAGATACAAAATCTTCAAATTTGTGTAAATATACCATACCATGAGTTACAAACTATGTCAAAACATCACACAATCATGGGTCAACTAATTACCTGAGCAAATCACAACCTACGTCCTACCCCAAGCAGCATTCTACCCCAACATCCTCTAAGCAGTCGCCGCGTTCAGCCAAGGCGCGGGGAGGCAGGGGAAGAGGGGTACGGGGGAGAGAGGGGCAGAGTCGGGCAGGCCGCGACCGGGTCACGGCGGGGCGCGCCAGTGCGGCCGCGGCGTTCGCCCGCGCCCCACCGCGCCCCGGCGGTGCAACCACGCAACTAAACACTTATATACTTCCACAACTAAACTACCATTATTTTTTTACCCACTCTATTAATATACAATTAGGAAATTTAAATTTTAAAACTGTGAAGTGCGAGTGCGAAGATGATAGTCGAAATTCAGCAAGAGGTAATGATAATACCCTACGATAAGTTATCGCGAGACGTATGTCGTATGTAATGGATTTTTTACGGCGGAACGAGTGCACCGGACGTCTTGTGATAAACTAGTGCGGGACGGCAGACGACGTGTTAACGAGTGGTGTCGTGTTTCGGGACATTTTCGGGAGTATTTTTGAATTTCGGATGTTGAGAAGTCGGGTGTAGATTAAAGATCGTAGAGGCGGCGATGTCAGTGGGTCAACGCACAGTGCGTGCTGGGTGCGGGAGGGGGGTGCAAGTCGCGGGGGGTTGCACAGTGCACCGTAGCGTAGTGCTACGACCGCTACGGCGTAGCGTAAAATTATCGCGTAGCTACTTTTATGGTTTTTTAATGTGTTTTTGATTAGTATTGCTTTTGCTGCCCCGATTTGGTACATGGAGCGCGAATCTACGAGTTGACGTAAATAATGATACTGGTCATTATCATTACAGATTGTTTATTTCGTAAATATAGTGTTAAAGTTGCTGGACTACAATAATTTTAAAAGATGTTTTGAAAATGGTGACATATACACTTTAATGAAGAGAAAATTATGCAGTTTGGACATAAGATATGCATTGTTAATACGAACTTAAATAAAATATCAATAAAGTTAATAAGACATCATTTAAATTAACATCTTCAACATAAAACTCTCTTTATAAGACTTGAAAGCTATGTGCAGTTGTGGTCCTAGATTTGCCCTCAATGCCTAGGTGTACCCCAGTGACCTAGGGCCGATCTAGGCCGCCGGGGCATTGCTCCTGCAAACAATTAGGTCGGGTAGAGGTGATTCTTTTTCAATCCTATCACTGCTCTCAGATACGAGCATATAGCCACTTTACTTGTTAATACTTTAATAAGCGATAGATAAACACTTGAAATTTAAGTTATTTGATGTGCTTTAACAATTTAGGTATAAGGCTGACTTCCTAATAAAATGAGTTACTTATCAAGCTATTAATTAGATATTTTATTATTAAACGAACAAGTATCATTCATTTTGTATATTTGAAACGTAGAGGGTTACACCTTCTACCAAATAATAAACAAGGAAGTCGCGTAAATAGGTATGCATAATTAATTAGATACTTTAGTTTTATGTGAAAGTCAAGTTATCACTATCAATGTTACCTGAACATAGGCCTTCCCCTATGAGGGGGCCCGAGATTACATGCCACGCTTACAACGCTTGGCAGGTGGCCTAAAAGCGCACTAGGTTTAGGCTGAACATAGGCCTTCTCCTATGAGGGGGCCCGAGATTACATGCCACGCTTACAACGCTTGGCAGGTGGCCTAAAAGCGCAGTAGGTTTAGGCTGAACATAGGCCTTCCCCTATGAGGGGGTCCGAGATTACATGCCACGCTTACCACGTTTGGCAGGTGGCCTAAAAGCGCAGTAGGTTTAGGCTTTGTGGTAGAACAGCGCTACGCAATAATTAAATTACTATTGTAGCATATGCTGGACGAAATTAACTAATAAATCTAAGTCTTTTTATTCA